ACAAGAAATAAAGGAACAGTTTTATGATAATTCATTGGGGAGCTCCTTACTGTTTGAAGCCAGAACGGGGGTGCTAAGAACGAAAACATATAGGGCTGAATTCCAGAAAATTGACACTTTATGCAACATATGCAACCACGAAAGGGAAACTATAGAGCACATAATTTTAAGGTGCACGGGGCTTCGTACCACCCTCTTGGGGACGGGGGGGATGACTGTATGGATTTGGAGGAAGCACTGGGATTTATAGACATGAATGGACGAATGGATAAGGAAAGAATTGCGGCAACCAAGAGGAGATTGGAAGATTGGTGGAAAGGATCTAGGGAGAAGTAAAAAAAAATACACATGAAAATAAGCAATGGAATCACTTTAAAAAAGGAGGGGAGGGGTTGTGTTATAACAAAATTTATACAAATTAAAAAAAAAGGGGATTTATCAGTATTCAGTAGCACCCAAACCCTTTTGCATCAGGGCGGTCGCTCCCAAAGGAACGTCGCAGTGAAATGTTAGGCTAGGTGGCGCAAGCTGCTGCCCATTACAAAGGGTATAGCCATACTAGTGCCACTAAATAAGCTACGCAGCTTATTTAGTGGCTCTAAGCCATACCACCCATCCATCCATCATTGCCAAATCTTTAGAAAACTTAGGCAACGCTTTGGCTTTGCCAAATCCTAAAATTCGGTGCTTCATCTTCGATTCGGCAAAAGTTTGACCCATCGGGCCCCAGCTCCAATCGGGGAGTCTGGATATCTCAATCATCTGTCTAAAGACCAAGCTATCCCGGCATTCGACACTCTGTTATTAAAATATAAAAAAATGCTTTAGTAAAAAAGCAACAGAAAGTTTATTTTTCCCTTCTTGAGCAGCGTCCCCCGCGGAGGAACCGGTTCCTGGAACAATCGGATCGCTGCCGCTTTTCCCTCGGCATCTCCCCCGCGTCCCTGTCCTTCAGCATGCGGGCCGCTCGTTGCCGGCTGGGCGGTCTCCGTCGGGTGATGGCGGAGGCCGCCACACGCATACTACCGTTCCGTTGGTGTTAGGTCACTGAACGGAAGCTCGAACTCGCTCGTGAGGGCGGCATTGCCGTCCATCATAGAGATCATACCGTTCATTTTCACCATAGAGATCATACATACTAACTCTAGAGGAAAAAGTCCGCCATTTTCCCATGCATTCTGGCTGCCGCAAGCAGCGGAACACGCAGGCAGACCCTCGGGGTCCCACACATTGTTACCAGCTGCTTTCGACTTCACGAAAATAATTATATCATCAGAGCAGTTTCATGAACTTTAACGATCCGCGAACTTAACGGTGGAAAGATATTCGCGTTCCTTTCGAAGCTTTCTTTTTGCATAGCGCGCAGATGTACAGCCTCGCGTCAACGCTAAACTAAACCAGATAACCGTCCTCGTGGGTGGGGCGAGAGTGGGCGTGCCCCAGGAATACGAAACCGAGCAAACACCAGATTTCCGAGATTTCGACAGTAGGGAAGTTAAGGCAGCGTAATGAGTGTACTGCTTTTTATAAGCACTAGAATAGCTCAGAACTTAGTTTGCAACGTCAAATTATCACTGTTTATATTGCTGATAGTTTTTAGTCTTCGCGATTACCATTGCGACTGTCGTCCTTCAGCTGGCAACATTGGTTTCTTTTTCTCGTGTTCTGTCGCTCTCTTTTGCGATCTTTCACTCGGGACCCAGGGTGTCGGCGTAGGGGATTTGCCACTCCTCCTCACCCACCTTTACCCCCCCGATATTCACAGATTCGACGAAACGACTGCACCACCACGCTGTTATAACCCACCGCGCTAACCAGAGTCTAGATGTCCTCAATACTACCGATACCGACTATTCACACTTGACGTCACTCCCTACGTCACCTCCGTTTTCGGAGGCCCAGAAACGAAAATGGAGTGTTCAGTTTCTTTACTTCTTTCGTAGGCACAGAAATACGAGTCACAAATGTCTACAAAAAATTGGGCAGCATGCTATGTTCCCAAGAAGCCTAAAACACCATTTAAAAAAACATAGAATAAAATTATTTTCATTGTCCCTTTAAAGGGCCCCTGAAAAGAAAAAAAAATTTAACCAGTCTGGTTGGGATACGCATGTCAAAAAATAAATTTTACGCAAAAATAAAATTTTTTTAGAGCAATATTGACGGCGCGAGACGCGATTTAGTTGGTAGTCACCCCCTTTTCACTTGTTTTCTCTCTCGCCACTTCAGGCACGTAGAAGAGAGGTGGAACGGCCTGGCCATCACGTTGAGGCGGAGAGAGTGTATGACCATCTTGTTGAAGGGGAAAGAATGTATCACCATTCCATGACCGTCATGGACTTTGCGTGCAGAATTTGAAATAAATCTCGGGCCGTCAATATTGCCGGACGCCACGAAGCGGCGTTGTTGGATGGGCTAAATGGGTTCACATTTTTGTAATGAGCCGCCGCAGACGGTCGCCGCGAAGCGGCGCAAGTGCAGCGCGGCGGATGGGTTTACGCGCGCCCCCCTTATTTGCTAAAACTTCGATTCGCTCAAATGTCGCTGTTCACTAAAACGTCATTTGCTCATGTGATTAGAACCCCGGGGGCGCGGAACCATAAATGAGGCATGGTATGAAAAACAATGCAAGACCGAATGAATGATTAATGGCGGCCGCTTGCACCACCTAGCTCACACGTGCTCAATTACGGTACTCAGTTTAGTTTTGTTACGGTGCCTGGGTCGCGTCTCGGACTGGTGTGTTTACCGCATCCAAAAAAGTGTTTCCTCGATTTCTGCTTGATGTCGTCATAGAAGCGTCATGCTGTCGCTGGTCACGACCCCGGGGGTGTCTCAGCAGCGGTGGTGGATGTAGCAGACGCCTGTTCTGCTGCAGGTTGCTCTCCATTGTGACAGCCCACGGAAGCTAGAGCAGCCAGAAACTGGGACGCCTGGGACGCCATTACGAAAGCGACACTTGAGTTCGCTGGTGCTTTTCGCCAGCATTTCTATGACCAACCGCCAGGATCGCGACATGCAACAGCATGACACTCCGGCTTCTGTGACGTCATTTGTTGCCACTTCGGGATCACTTTTGATGTATGGGCGGAATCTAAGCACACCAGTCGGAGACGCGCTCCGGGCAGCATAGTTTTGTTTAGAAAGGCAACCAAAATAGGTCCTTTGGCACAGGCTTGGCACAGATTGCCCATATTTTTGGCAAAATGTTGCAGGATTAGCCCCTTGGCGCAGTTTAGCGCAGCAAGCACATCACGGATAATGCATCTCCCACAAATAAATGTAGCGTTTTTTCATTGCAACAATAAACTGTGCATTGCCGAACGCTCATTCAACGCTCAAGTGTAGCGCTAGCAGTCTGGACCAGATGCCAAAAATTCAGAACTAACCATCATCTCATTTAAAAGCTGTAAGGGACTTTCTAAAACTTCAATGGGAAAATGGGGCCCATTTTAGCTCGTTTCAGGTGACAGGCGCCCTTCAGCTTCGAGAACTTTGTTGACGGCAATTTTCCGATAAAAACTTCAGAAATTCGCTTATAACTTTTTAATAAGATAACGGTTAATTCTGAAGCTTCTGCATCTGGTTCAGACCACTAGGATATCAATAGGGTGGAGAAAGAGCGTTCACCTATGCAGAGTTTACTTTCGTAATAAAAAAAGTTTTTTTGTGTGGTGGGGGACAGAGCATGAACTTTATTCACCTGAAACAAAAGGAATGGCCACCACAATCCAATCCAAATTTATCTGCTGCAGTATGCACATCCACTCGGCAGTCAATTTCATGGCTACGAAACTGCCACAGTGAGGTCTCAGCATAGCACACGATGGCAAAATAAGAACTTTCCAGAGGGCTGCTCCGCCAACGGAGCAGCTAAGATATGCAATGGCTGGAAAACAACACTGTAACACTGGAAGCTCAGACGGTCTAGCTTTATTTGCGAGGAACACTGATACAGAACTCTAATTACACATTTATCATCTGCAGAATTTATTTGAGACAAACGAGAGTAAGAAACAAAATCCACAATGAAGATATGCACAAATGCATTACCAAAGGCAAAACTAGGCACACATTGACCAACAATACACAAGATACAGTAAACCATGCAAAAAAAAATGCTGGCAAAGGTACACAGAAACAACTATCGGCAACAAGAATACGAAGCAACAGAGAATTGTGATAACCTAAATACAAGAGCGACATGTCAATGCAGGTGGCATATAAATACATGACTATGAAGATTCCAGTGCAGGGAAGGAAGCAAGAACACTTTGAATATGATCGAGTTCAAGTCAGTTCAGCGCTCTACCTCGCTCTTCAAACCAGCGTTGAACACGCATTATGGAGCATTAATAATTGACACGCTGTCCATTGTAAACCAGCTTGGTGGTATGGGAATACGACTATACTAGAGGGACAGCTTTTCTTGGCCTTTCGGAGAAGAGAGCTCGTGCTAGTTCCAACAGTGCTTAAAATTGGAGACGGCATAAGTGCCAGTGCCTTTGACTGCATTGCCAAGAAAAGATAACCCCAAATATAGCAATGTTCAAATTGGGAGCATGAACCACTGCAGTGCTCACACACACTCAAAAATCGGTTCCCAGCCGAGTTGATTGCTAAACTGGAGAGGCATCCCAGAAGGTGTAAAAATAAAAACCTAAAAAATTACTCCACACTCGAGTACAAGATCACAAAAGCAGAAAGAAGACACTATGGGAATCGAAATTCACACACTTCATCTTTTTTAGATAATTAATTTGAAACTTTGGTCACACAATGTATTTTCTGCAAGTGCCTATCCTTTATATACAGGAGTAAAAACAAACACATTAGACAACATCTCAAACGAGTTACATTGACTTATTTCAATCTATTGAAAAAGTTAACGATTTGTCATTGCACTAACCAACCTCTTGATCACTTCTGGCAAGGAATTGCTCCCTACTGTGTGAGCAATGCAAGAGTTTAACTATCCATAAACAATCAATGAGGTAACCATACTGGATATACAACTACCCGTTCTGAGAAGTCGACAGTGCAAAAGCCCACCACCTGCCACCCGATTAATGCACTCGTCCTTAGGTTCGTTTACCACTGCTTTGGCACATGCCCCACGAGGCAGAGGCATTAAAAAATGCACAGGAACATTGCTGTCATTTGTAAGGCACTGCATTCCTGCCATTTTAGGGTACTGCATGCATTTGTATATTTCAACTGAAATGGTGCATATCTGCACTGCAGATCAGATCCCTGAGAAAAGGCCTTGGGACACATGTTCCACTTAAATTACTTTTCAACAGTGTGTTAGATTATGGCGTCTCAGATGTGAATTCTGTGAAAATGTTCGGGGGCACAGCTTGCACTTAAATGGCTTTTCACCTGAGTGTGTTCGATTATGGTAGATCAGACTGGAATTCCGAGAAAAGGCTTGGGGGCATAGCTTGCACTTGAATGGCTTTTCACCTGAGTGTGTTCGATTATGGCGGATCAGATCGATTTTCTGAGAAAAGGCTTGGGGGCATAGCTTGCACTTACATGGCTTTTCAGCTGAATGTGTTCGATTATGACAGATCAGACTGGCTTTCTCAGAAAAGACTTGGGGGCACACCTTGCACTTAAATGACGTTTCAGAAGAGTGTGCTAGACTATGCGTTTTTAAATTAGAATTATTAGCAAAGACTCGGGGGCACAGCTTGCACTTAAATGGCTTTTCGCCCGAGTGTGTTCGATTATGCAAGATCAGAGCACTATTATGAGAAAAGGCATGAGGGCACAGCTTGCACTTAAATGGGTTTTCACCAGTGTGTGTTCGATTATGGTAGATCAGATAGCCATTCTGAGAAAAGGCTCGGGGGCAGAGCTTGCACTTAAATGGCTTTTCACCAGAGTGTGTTAGATTATGCCTTCTTAAATGAGAATTCCGAGCAAAGGCTTTTAGGCAAAGCTTGCATTTAAATGGCTTTTCACCAGTGTGTGTTTGGTTATGCCTCTTCAGTCGGGAATTCCTAGCAAAGGCTTGAGGACACAGTTGGCACTTAAACAACTTAATACTTTTGTGCTTTTGAGTGTTGCTTAGCACTTTGGACCTGGAGTGAGAGGACACGGGAGGATGCTGGCTCTTGGATTGTTCATCACCATGGGCAACCAGGTGGTTCACGATCCCATGCTGATCTTTGGTGACATAGGTGCAGGAACAGCACCCAAACCAGATGTCGTCAGTGGCTTTCAATGGGCAGCTGGTCTCTCCCAAAAGTGCAGCTCCCCCTCCTAAAAGGCCTCATGTGTATTAGGACACTAGGAAAGCACAACAAAGATAGCAATGTTTTAGAAATAAGCAGTCATTATTGTAGTTCTGCATTATCTGACTGGTTGAATTTCATTTTGCCCCTTTTACTTCAGTTCCAAGCACTGTCTCATGTTAATTCAACATGGTTAAGTTTATTTAAAACCATAGTTTGCACACAAATTAAAGAAAACATTCACTTGGCCTTCAGATGTAGTGTGTTGCTCTCTACCAGAATGTTTTCAACAATATGATATGCTCAATAACTACCAAATGGACACATCAGATGGGCAAGAACATATATTGCGAGTGACAAATGACGTCTAAAGGACAAGTGAAAGTTTTTCTGTTTGCACAAATTATAGATTTTTAATAAAACCTTGTGGCATGTTTTGCAAAGAAAAAAAATTATGAAGCAATGGCTGACTTTCTACTCTGTTCATTGTTTCCCAATGTTATCTTGGTACCTTGCAGAAAGCCCTCTTCCTTTATCTCATCTTCATCTTCCCGTACATAGAAAATCACAATTTACCTTGCCTCACACTCTTTTAACACTGCCATGAACTTCCTCTAGACTCCAATCCTAGTACTTGCTTCCCTCGCCGAGAAGCATAATCCATATCACTTTGTACATTTTCATCCGAGCTCTGGGGTCAGCCGAGGATGCGTCCCTGGTGGAGGATCTTCGAATCGGCACGGATTTGTACAAGAAGCACTGCTTTGGTCTATGACCACCTGTAGTCTAGACTAGAGCACTGCACGGGCCAGAATTTCTAGACACGGCCCGGCCCCGGCCCCGGCCCGAGCCCGACAATATTTTTAATTTTTCTAGGCCCGGGCCCAACCCGAGTCCAAAAAAATTTAAATATATGTGCCCAACCCTGGGCAGAGCCTGAAAACTGGGACCAAGATTTTTTTTACACAATAAATATGCCGACTTAGATATATTTTCAAGATATGGGCGAAATATGCACATAATTTGTGAGTCTTTGAACTCGTGGCACCGAGAATTCATGAGACAAAATAATATAACTTTTTATTTATGAATTTTTTTTAAAAGATATTGCACTTTTCGTTGTTCAGTTCAATTTGTTACACAGAGGAATTCCCTTCCTACATGTTTTTTTTTGTAGAGAAACAATAAATTGTTCAGTGACTCTTTCTTCAGGCAGGTCCACCTTGTTTGCATGACGTAGCCCTCCACACTAAGGTTCCGTTCACATCTAGCACTCGCGAGTGCACAGGAAGCGTTTGGATAGAAAGGAGAGTTTCGGGAATCCCTTTTCGTGCGTTCTCCAAAAGTCGCAAGGCTCAAACACTTCAGAGCACAAGTAGTCCTTCCTTGCCGTGCAGGTACTCCTCCAATTCGTCAGTAGCTAACTTGTCATCCTCCGCCTCACTCCAGTCTTGAAACAAACCCAGGCACCTTCTTTTCGAAGCGGGATCTTGAACGTCATCGTCAGTTTCATCTGCATCTTGCTTCATTGCTTCAGTGACACGGGCAAGTAGCTCTCTGACGTGTGCATAGACTTCAAGGCGCTCGTCCTCGGGCAACATGAGGAGTTGGCAGAACTGAGGCCAGAGAAATGTGGCGGTCTTGTGGAGGAGAGAAATGTTCAGTTTCGTGTCCAGGAAATGACGAGCACGGACCTTGATCGTCTCGATTTGCACTGCCTCTACTGCAGACACTGGAGCATGTTCAAGATGGTTCTTCAAAGCGGAAGCCTAAAGCACAACCAGAGGAAGTGTTGGACATTTTTCCTCTTGAGCGCATCACTAGCATCTTTCAAGGGTTGCAGGAACTCGATTAACTCGTTAAAAGTTGTTTTGTTCACGCTTCCCATCACTGGATTGTTCCTTGACTCCAGTAGACCTTCTATCTCCTCGAACTGAGAGCAGACAGACTATAGCATGGATACCTTTCGCGCACGCGGTTGTCACTTTCTCCTTAACGTCCGCGGGTGCGGGAGGTTTAGGGCATTGAGGTGATAAAAAATAGAAATACTTATGCTGTTCGATGAAACCTTGCACTTGTGACGACTGAGATGAGACGTTTCTGACTTTGAACGAACAACAGCGAACATGTCTTTTGGGCGCCGACGTTCTAGAGTCCCAAGGCTGTGAGAAATTCTTCCCATACAGAGCTCATAAATTTTGTCTTCTCAACAAGTTTGTAGAGCGTATATAAGCTCGCCGATTGTCGATATTGGTGCACCACCTTCCATTGCTGCCATTGGGACAAAGGGTGGCAGTATAGAAAATAAATGATAATATAAGAAAAGTTTCTCTGGAAAGATGAACTTGTCAAGCGTCTGTTTCTTATTGGATGGTTGGTAACATGGGCAGGACATAGGTCGATTCTATTGGACACTTCGAACCCGGAAAGATTCTAGAAGAAAAGACAATCACAACCTCACTAGTGCATCTTCAAAAGAATTTGTAAAAAAATATATATATCTAGGGTATGTTGGCATGTTTTTGGTGGCATAGTAAGGCCCCCGCAGAAAGTATGAGGTCAAGGTCATGCTTTTCTTCTTTTTTTTTTTTTTTTTTGAAAAGCAGAGGAAAAATACAATTATGTTGTACCCTGCGACCGGAGTGCCCTCGTTTTCTTGCCCAAACTCTCCCACTATGCTGGTGGAGTCCATACATTTTCTTTTATCCGCTTGAAGGCTTTATAACTGCAAGACACCTTTTTGTTATCGTGAACAGCACTGTAGTGACTTTGCACTTTGCCTTTTTAGTTTTCAATTAGCCTAAAAGATGAATGAACTAACTTTTTGTTCTCACCAATTTAGAATTTACGACATATGACTGCCCAGGGACAGACCGGGCCGGCGCAGCCCGAATGCCTTTTTGTTGAAGCCTGAGCCTGGCCCGGGCCCGAGAAAATATGAGCTGCCGGGCCCAAGCTCTGGTCTAGAAACAGCCACTTTATTCTCTTCATGAAAAAAGTTGAAATGAAAAACTTACCAAGACTTAAGGAGTGGATCGATTCCATTCAAATTGCTGGCTGTGATCAGGTTTGCAAGCAGGCATGGGCGATCACAAAGGAGCCACGGGACCACTTGAGATGACTAGGACCAAATGCAGAGAGCCAACACCGTAATTAAGAACAAAGCAGGCACACCCTCCAAGCACATCAAGTTAGCCAGACAGCTATGAGGATAACACACAAGAAACACACACCCCCCCACAATTTTATGATTGAGAAAATGGGATGCTGTGCACCTAGCAATGGGTGCTCGCTTGCATATGTTAACACAACCCGTTTTCTTGCTTTCTGCCACATTGTTATTACAGTAAAATTCCTATCAGTTAAAGGGAAGACTGGCAAAAGATAAAATCTGAGATAACTATGCCAGTGGAATGATTGGCAATCTGCAGCGGCAGTGGCACCTACTTCTCCAAGCTAATCTGTCTTCATGCCATTACAGTGTCCCGCTGCAAAACACTGCGTCGGTTCCAGCCAGGAACAGGGGCATCGCCGCAGAAAGCCAAGCGATTGACAATCACCGACACTGGCATGCCCCTCGCCACAACCAAGCAAGAATATAAGAAAAGGGCATCGCAGGACCGCTCCCCTCTTGGCAGTCAGCAGCGGCAGTGGCACCTACTTCTCCGTGCTAATCTGTCTTCACGCAATTACAGTGTCTCGCTGCAAAACGCTGTGTCAGTTCCAGCCAGGAATGGGAGCATCGCCACGGAAAGCCTAAGCGATTGACAATCACCAACACCAGCATGCCCCCTCGCCACAGCCAAGCAGGGATATAAGAAAAGGGCATCGGAGGACCGCTCCTCTCTTGGCAGTCAGCAGCGGCAGGGGCACATACTTCTCCGTGCTAATCTGTCTTCAAGCCATCACAAGTTGGTGCTCCCTCTTTAATCATTTTTATCATTCTACAGTTGTTGCTACTGCTGCTGCTGACATTTCTAGTGCCTTCGAGTGTGCTGTTCTTGAATACTATGTCATTGGATGATGACAATGAGTGCATATCCTGCCCTGCGACACTTTCCGAGGACGGCTCGTTTTTAACGCGTGTTGAATGCGAGTTCAGTTATCACTTTGGTGAGTGTTCTGAAACCAAAACAACTAAGGCAAAGAAAGCAGTCGCCAAAAATCCTTGGGCATGCCCAACTTGCAAAGTAGCTAAAACGAGATGTGGTCAGGCACCGGAAAAATCAAAGCAGAGTAAAGAAATTAAAGATCACAAAGAAGGAAACATGCTGGTGGAAATAAACAAGAAACTTGCTGCACTTATGGAAATGAAGAGTGCTGTAGAGAACATTAAAAAAAAGTTCAGAACGTGTCAGACAAGTGTGATGGGCTACTTGCTGAGATGCGCAGTCAAAGACAAGAAATAACGGACCTTAAAGAAAGCATACAAAAAGTAGAAAACACTGGTAATGAAGAAACAAAACAGCTCAAGCGAAAAATTAATGACCTCGAACAATACAGCAGGCTGCGAAACCTTGAAATTTATGGCCTACAATATTCGGTGAATGAGACCTTACCGCAGAAGCTGAACGACCTAGCCTTAGAGCTCGACCTATCACCACTAACGGAACAAGAACTGAAAGGACTACACAGGTTGCTAACAAAGCCCAAAAAACACCGGCTGTGTTGATCTATTTTTCTACACGAGCAACAAGAGACCGTTGGCTCCAGAAAAAAAGAACAGCTTCGGGGAAACAGGCCTCAATTTTATAAAAACCTGACGGCACACAACAAAAAGCTACTCCGGCTGGCAAGACGGAGGCAAAAAGAAAAGAGCTATAAGTACACATGGCAAAACAAGGACGGATATATGTAAGAGAGAAGATTGGTGATAGTGCTATCAGGACCAACAGCGAAGATGAACTGACAAAAATATGTTGAAGATTGAAAACTTTTTTTTTCTTTTATTTCTATCTTTTTCCTTTATTTTGAACTTTCTAACTAATGGAAAAGTCATCAACTGACTGCTGTTATTAATTACAATGGTGATACTTTTAATATACTTATGAGAAATAATGCACTAAAAAACAAGGAAAAAATTTCCTTATTTCATCTGAATGCAAGAAGCCTTAGAAATAAAAATGACAAAATTGAACCGTTCATGAATATGCTGAATCATAACTTTGCTATTTTGGTATTTACGGAAACGTGGTTTACTGGCATTGGCGATACTGTTAGCTTCAACAAATATACCTGTGAGGAAATTCATTGTGAAAACCGGAAAGGAGGTGGTGTGTCGCTATATTTTCGTGATGGCCTAACATATGAAATTGTTCCAGAGCTCACGCGTGTTAACTATGATTATGAATTGTTTGTTTCCAAATGCAGTAAAATGGTTGTGGTTGCAATATACAGACCACCACACCGTGTGGATCATTGCGGGTTTTTCTGGATTTTATTACACATTTAGTAGATTATATTACAGCTGTTAACTTGAAAATTGTCATAGCAGGCGACTTGAACATAGATCTGATATCTGAAGACCCCTCGAATGTTGAGCTTCTTGAAATAATCCAGTCTTCCAGTTGTGAAAACTTGATTAATTTGCCTACTAGGATAACATCACATACAGAAATGTTAATTGATATTTGTATAACCAACAGCCAAACTGACGACGCGTATGCGGGTGTATTTTCAGTTGGACTTAAAGGGGGACCAGCAGAAGTATTCTTCCGCCTGGCGGAAAGTCCTCCTCGCCCTCTTTCTTTCTTGTATTGTAGCATGGCGAGGCGAGGGGAAAGGTCCCCTTTTGCGCCGACTTCTTCTGAGAGAATAAGCCGAGAAAATCCCCTTTCTGAGCGACGGGCGATGGGTGCGGCAGCAGCGACCTCGTGACTTACAGGTATCTTCAGCTCCTATCGCGTAATCCGCCCTATTTTTTGGCACTCGCCAAGCCTAGCCCCTCGGGTGTAGGTTTTACGGAGCAGCAAGGCTACGCCCTTGCAGTCACCAATTTGAGCTCTCGAAGTTCTTTGGTTTAGCCCGTGGCAAAGTAAACGCATACTTGGGAGCTGCGATGCATCCCCGCACCCATTGAAGGAACGTTTCATAGATATTCTCGGTTGATCGAGGAGCTCAACACACATGCGCCAGATGTGGTGACTTGAATACGTAAGGATGACTTACATCTTCACAAAACATTCCATCTTCAAAAAAAAAAAAAAAAAACACAGCTTATCACGCTCAAACCTGCCTCAAATTGGGGTCGATAGAAAAGAAAACGATGTACCAGGTGCGGGCATCTTGTAAAAGGTCTGTTTTCTAGCAGCGAGCACAAATTATTGAAGAACTTTAGCAGACTATGTTTCCAGGCCACGCTATATTTAGCGGGCGCTCGCGCTGCCACTTTGATGCATTCTCTGAAGCGCGTGCCTGAAGTGGCAGCAAGCCTTTGAAAACGATTTACTAAAATGGCCTGTTGTGTGCCTAACTCACAGAACATGATGGCCAGCAAAATGTATGAAATTCATATTTACA